CTGAAGAATCCTTTCTCTAGATTGTCTCCTCTGACAAGGCAAACAAAAGCAAACAAACTATAGAGACGAAACCAAAATACAAAGCTTTTTGCACAGGGAAGGAAACCAGCAAAACACAAAAGCCACCTACTGAATGGGATATTTGCAAATGATGTATCTGATAAGGGATTAGTACCCAAAATATATAAACTTACACAACTCAACGACCAAAAAACCTCCAAATAATCCAATTAAAAATGGGCAGAGGACCCGCACAGACATATTTCCCAAGAAGACATACAGATGGCTAACAGGCACATGACAAGATGATCAACATCACTCATCAGGGAAATGCAAATAAAAACCACAAGGAGATATCACCCTATTACTGTCAGAATAGCTAGAACCGAAAACACAAGAGCTCCTACTTCTGAAGTCATTTTATGAACAGTCATGTGCCACCTGAGCCTCCAATAAAAACAAAAACAGACAAAACAAACAAACAAACAAAAACACAAGAAATAACTGTTAGTGAAGACACAGAGAAAAAGGAACCATCATGCACTTTTGGTGGGAATGCAAATTGTTGCAGCTACTGTGGAAAGTAGTATGGAGGCTCCTTAAAAAATTAAAAACAGAAATCCCATCTGTTCCAGTAATTCCACTACTGGGTATTTACCCAAAGAATATGAAAATATTTGGTAAATACCTGAATATTCTTTGGGTAAATATCACTTACTTGAAAAAATATATGCACCCCTATGTTTACTGAAGCATTATTTATAACAGACAAATTACGAAACAACCCAAGTATCCATCCCCAGATGAAAGGAAAGAGAAGTGAGGTACATATATATGCAATAGAATATTACTCAGTCATAAAAACGACTGAAGTCTTGCCATCAACAACAACATGGATGGAACTGGACAGTAGAACGCTAAGTGAAATAAGTTAGAAAAAGACACATACCATATGTTTTCACTCATTTGCAGAATTTAAGAAACAAGAAAAAAAAAAAGAACCAGACTCTAAAATAAAGAGAGAACAAACTGGTGGCTGCTGCAGAAGAGTTGTGTGGGGAGGATGGGTGAAATATATAAAGGGAATTAAAAGTATACTTGTTTTTTTTTTCCCCCAAAGATTTTATTTATTTGACAGGCAGAGATCACAAGTAGGCAGAGAGGCAGGCAGATAGAGGGGGAAGCAGGCTCCCTGCTGAGCAGACAGCCTAATGTGGGACTCAATCCCAGGACCCTGGGATCATGACCTGAGCTGAAGGCAGAGGCTTATTAACCCACTGAGCCACCAGGCTCCCCAAGAGTACACTTATCTTGATGAGCACTGAGAAATGTACAGAACTACTGAATAATTTTTTTACACCTGAAAATAATTAACACTGTATATTAATTACATTCCAAATTTAAAAACACATTAAAAAATAAAATTCATAATTTTCAGATGTCAAAAATATTTCTCTTTGACGTTTTCTTAATAATTTAAATACGCTGCACTATTTTTAATTCATTATCCTTACAAAAACAGGCAGGAGAGTAGATTGGTAGGTAGCTTGAAGTCTGCAGAACTCAATATTTTGATAATGTGGATCATTTTCCGATGATTAGCCTGGACAGCACTACATAGCATAGACTTAAAAAAGGACAGAAAGCAGAGAGGTAAGTTAATGTAGAAGTTAGGAAGACAGGCATACCTCTGAGATGTTGTGGCTTCAGTTCCAGAACAAGTTAGTAAAGTGAATTTCACAATAAACAAATTAGGTATTCCAGTGCGTATACGAGTTATATTTATATTATACTGTTGATTTTTCGGTATGCAAGAGCATTATGTGTAAAAATACAACGAACGTACCTTAATTAAAAAATACCTGATTGCTAACAAAACGCTATCATCTGAGATTTCTGCAACTCAAAATCTTTTTGCCGGTCACGGCTGCTGACTGAACAGGGTGGCGGTTGCTGAAGGTCAGGGCGGCTGTGGCCACTTCTTAAATCAACAATGAAGTTTGGTGCATCGACGGACTCTTCCCTTCATGAAACCTTCTGGGCAGCCTGCAATGCTGATAGCTTTTACCCACAAAACTTTCACAATTGTGGGGTCAAACAAACCTCCCAAACCCACCTGTTGCTCTATCCACTAAGCTGATGCGACCTTCTAAACCCTTTGTTGTCATTTCAACAGTCTTCGCAGCACCTTCACCCGGAGTAGATCCCACCGCCACAAACCACTTTCTCTGCTCATTCGTCAGCAGCAACTCTTCATGCATTCAAGCTGTATCCGGAGTCTACAGCGGGTCCGCCCCATCCTCAGGCTCCACTTCTGATTCTGGCTCTCTTGCTATGCTATCTCCACCACTCCTGCAGTGACCTCTTCCTCTGAAATCCTGAACCCCTCAAAGTCATCCATGAAGACTGGAATCTACTTCTTCCAAATTCCTAATAACGCTGACATGTTGATCGCTCCCCATGAATCATGAATGCTCTCCAGGGCGTCTAGGACGGTGAATCTTTCCCAGAAGGTTTTCCATTGACCTTGCCCAGATCCATCCAAGGAATCACTACAAACAGCAGGTAGAGTCCTGCGAAATGGACTCCTTAAGGAAGAAGACTTGAGTAAGAAATAAAACAAAGAAAAACAGAGACAAAGACTCTTAAGGTGTCTTAAGACAACCACCAGGTGGTTGCCAGAGAGGCAGGCACAGGTGGTTGCCAGAAGGGGAGGGGGGACGGCGGAGCGATCCAGGGGGGATGGCGGAGCGCACTTATCCTGATGGGCGCCGAGTAACCACTGCTGAATCATTATACTGCACTCCTGCGCACCTGAAACTAGTATAACACTGTTATACTCCAATAAAAAATAAACATAATTAACTAAAAATTTTTAAAAAGACTCATTTCCAGTTGAAATGACTCCTTGATCCATGGGCTGCAGAACAGATGCTGTTAGCAGACATGAAAACAACGTAAATCTCACTGTCCGACTCCATCAGAACTCTGGGGCGATCGGGTGCACAGTCAGTAAGTGATGATAATGTGAAAGGAATCTTTTTTCTTTTTTTCCTTAGGCGGGTCTCAACAATGGGCTTAAAACATGCAGCACACCATGCTGTGAACAGATGTCCTGTCCTCTAGGTTCTGCTCTTCCGTTCCCAGAGCACAGGCAGAGGAGTCTTGCCGTAATTCCTAAGGGCCCTAGGATTGGAGACATGATAAATCAGCACCTGCTACACGTTAAAAGTCACCCGTCGCACTGGCCCCGACCAGACGATCAGCCTGTCCGTGGAAGCTGTGAAGGCAGCACTGACTCCTCCTGTCCTGCCGGGGAAGCCCTCGATGGCACCTTCTTCCCGTGGGAGGCCCTCGCATCCCCCCTGAAAATCTGCTGGTCAGTGCAGCCGCCTTCGGGAACGATCTCGATCTTCCGGATCTTCCGGATCTTCCGGATCTCCTGGTCACTTGCTGCAGCTCCCACGGCCGCGCGCACGTGCTGCTTCGCCTTGCGCTTTCGTGCCACGGACGCGGCTTCCTTCCCGAAACCTCAAGCCCGGATCTCCGCTCGTGTCAGGCTTCGCTCCTGCAGCTGCCTCCCCTCTCTCTGCTGCACAGAACCCAGGGAGTCAGGGCCTTCCGCTTTGGCTGAGGAGAATGGCGTGGCTGGCTGGACCTCTTCTCCACTAAACGTTCTCTGTATCAGCAATAAAGCTGCTTCACTTTCCTGTCGGTCGTGTGTTCACTGAGGTAGCACTTTTAATTTCCTTCAGGAGCTTTTCCTTCGATTCACGACTCGGCTAACGGCATCAGAGGCCTCAGCTTTCAACGTGCCTTCCTCACCGAGCTTTAGCCATGTCTAGCCTGTGGCTGACAGTGGGAGGCAGGCAGCTTCTCCTTCCAGCTGAACACTTACAGGCCACTGTGGGGTTATTAACTGACCTGATTTCCATACAGTTGTTTTTTAGGAGATTGGGAGACCCACGGAAAAAGACAGGGAAACAGTGGATCAGTGGAACAGTCACAGCACACACAGTCACAACATTCATCGGTTAAGTTAGGTGTCTTTGTGGGCACTGTTTGTGGCATCCTAAAACAATTTCAATAGTAACGTCAAAGATCACGGATCACAAATGACTTTAACAAATATAAAAATAATGAAGTCTTGAAATATTGTGAGAATTACCAAAATTATCAAACCTTCAACTTATAAAATATGTAATAACTTCAATGCACAATAATGCAAAGCATACTAGAAGTTATGCCTTTACAGTAAATGGAATCTACCTAATCTAATCTCTTCTTTCCAATACACACCAGCTGTGTAACTTTGAATAAAACTTACTTCCTCAGCTTTCAATATAACTTCATATATGATGAAAGACAACTGTATGGACTTCAAGTGTCAATTTAAAATTTAAATGCAATGATCCACATGTAGTGATTATAATAGTACTTACATACTAGGTGCTCAATAAATATTAATATATATGACTGCTATTTAAATTAGGTGATAACAGTCCAAAAAATGACAGCGACAAAACACAGATGTTAAAGGTAAAATTGACCAGATCTAAGCACATTAATGGAACAGAGAAGAAATGCAGAAATAGATCCAAAAGGATATGAAAATTTAATGTGACAAAACACATAACTACTATCATTTTTGTGAGACATCCTTAAGGCCTGCCTTAAAAAATAAATTTGGAAGCATCGCCATGAGAATAGAGGTGAAAGCTTTATGATTTTGGATTAGACTTCAAGGACAAAACAGGAAAGTGAAAAGAATAAAGAGAAAAGGATACAGGGTACTATTTTAGGGAAGGGAAGAAACAGAAGAATCACAAAAAGATACAATTAAGAATACCAATAGAAGAATCGTTACAGCAATTCCTATCACGAAAGATAAATACTAATGGGTGGGAAAGACCGAAATGAAGTCATCTAAAATAATCAAATTCAGATGCAATGTTATGATTTCATAAGAAAACACTATTAAAATTTAAAACTCTACTTACTGACACAGCTATCATGGTACTATCTGGCCTCCATTCAGCTTGTTTGTAGGATCCAAACTGAGATGATGATTTTTCAGGTTCCTTGTAGGTTACAATTAACACACTAGGCTGGAAGGAAAGAGATTTTATTAGTATCCCACAAAAATATATACAAAACAATTTAAAATAATTTATCATGGAGTACTCTGAAAATCTTTCATTAATTCTAAATTAAGCCCTAATTAGCCCAAACAAATCAACTAAAAAGAACCAAAAGGAAAGATGATCTGAAAAGGACTGTATCTATTAAAGTTATTAAATTGATAGCTAGTAACTTTCAGAAACAGAAACAGGCAAGATGGATTCTCTAGTGAATTCTACCAAACATTTAGGAAGAAATTATACAAATTCTCCACAATCTATTCCAGAAAACAGAAGCAGAGAGACTACTTCCTAACTCTTTCTGAGGTCAGCATCAGTCAAAAACTAAAACCAGACAAAAACATTACAAGAATATAAAATAGCAGACCAATATCTCTCATAAACATAGCTGTAAAAATTCTCAACAAAATATTAGCAAATCTAATGCAACAATGTTAAAAAGAATTAAATATTACAACCAAGTGGAATTATTCCAGGTATGCAAGGCTGGATCAAAATGCAAAAATTAATGTAATCCATTACACATCAACAGGCTGAAGAAGAAAAACCACATGATCACACCAATACACAAAGAAAAAGAACTTAACAAAATTCAGTACCCATTCATGATCAAAACTCTCGATAAGCTAAGAATAAGGGGAACTTCTTCAATCTGACAAAGAATACCTACAAAGAACCTATAACTAACATTATACTCACTGTTAAGAAACCAGAAGCTTTTCTGCTAAACTCAAGAACAAGGTAAAGAAAGACACTCCCTCTCACCACTCCTTTTCAAAATCACACTGGAAGTCCTTGCTAATGTACTAAGAAAAGAAAATAAAAGGTAACAGATTGGGAAGAAGTACAACTTTGTTTATATATAACACAACTGCCTACATAGAAATCCAAAGGAACCACCAACAAAATAACATGGTGATAACAATTATTAGTAAGGTTACAGGATGTGATGGTCATACAAAAATCAATTGTTGGGGCACCTTGGTGGCTCAGTGGGTTGAGCCTCTGCCTTCAGCTCAGGTCATGATCTTAGTGTCCTGGGATCAAGCCCTGCATCAGGCTCTCTGCTCAGCTGGGGGCCTGCTTCCTCCACCCCTCTCTCTGCCTGCCTCTCTGCCTAATTGTGATCTCTCTGTCAAATAAATAAATAAAATCTTTAAAGAAAAAAAAAATCAAGTTTATTTAACAGCAATGAACAAGTAGAATTTGAAATTAAAAACACAACAGCATTTGTATTAGCAACCCAAATATATTTAGGAATAAATCTAATTAAATATGTAAAAGATCTATATAAGGAAAACTACAAAACTCTGATGAACAATTTAAAATGAACTACATAAAGGGAGGGATATTCCAAGTTCATGGATGGGTAGATCCAATATTGTCAAGATGTTAGTTCTTAGAACTAGCACTACAGACTCAACACAATCCAAATCAAAATCACAGCAAATTATTTAAGAGATAGCAACAGGATGACTCTAAAGTATATATGGAGAGGCAAAAGACCCAGAATGGCCAACTCAATATTGAAGGAGAAGAACTAAGTTGAAGGACTTGATGCTACTTCAAGACTTACTATAAAGACACAGTAATGAAGACAATGTGGTATTGGCCAAAGAACAGAAAACAGATTAACAGAACAGAGAGCACCAGAAAGAGACCCACATAAAAAGAGTCAAATGATCTCCAACAAAAGAGCAAAGGTAATAAAATGGAGAACACGTGGTGTTTTCATCAAATGGTGCTGAAACAACTGGACATCCACTTTCTGGTAGTATAAGAAGTTCCAGAGGGTCATCTTGTACTTTCCCTGCCACTGTCCCAGAAGCAGCCATTTTTCCAGAGATCTCTGTTTCATTTTTATTAGAGAATTGTATTTAAAAAAAGATCTGCAGGCACCTGGGTGGCTCAGCTGGTTACGTGGCTCCCTTTGTCTCAAGTCATGACCCCAGAGTCCTAGGATCGAGTCTCACACTGGGGTCCCTGCTCAGCCAGGAGCCTGCTTCTCCCACTATCTGCCGCTCCCCCTGCTTATGCACTCCCTGTCAAATAAATAAACTATTTTAAAAAATAATGAAAAACAAGATCTGGAAACAAGATGAATATTGCTAGTGGGGTGTCACTGCTTCTAGGTCCTCTCAGCAAATACAGTAGGAAACATACAAACTTATACTAAGCCATATATGACATTATATCTCTACATTTCTTCCCACATATACGTATGTACATATTTACATACAGAAACACTGGAGGATAATCAAGCACAATGTGGCTTATTCTAGCCTTTGTCCCTTAAGTGTAACTTTTCTTTGTTATCATTTCATACAATTAATTTAGCTCTTTGTTCAACTCTACTATTTGCACAGACTAGTTTGGAACTGCTAAGTATATTCCTATAGTAGACAAATTTACCAACTAGAATACAGTTTTTATGCTACCCTCTTTTACATTAGCATTTGTAAAGTGTTACATAGGTCATTCCCTTAAAACCTTTCTTTAATCTCTAAAAGCAAAATTCAAAAGTTTCTAAGAAGCTAGCAATAACCCAAATACATTAAAATTGCTAGAAATCAGTTGTTTGTACTTCAAATATCAATTGAAAATCAGTATCTTGGCAGGAGTGACATCAGCAAGATGGGAGAGTGGGAGAGTAGGAAGCTCTGGTCTCTTCTCCCCCCCAACAAATACATCAATTCAGGAACAATTCACAGAAAAATTCCCTTTGGTGAGAAATCCAGAATCTAATATCTGAAAGGTACCTGAAGGCTGGATGAACACAAAATCAGACTCACCAAAGCTGCTAGGGAGATATGGGACACCCTTCTGCCAGAAGCCCCACCCCCAATACAGGATAAAACCCTCCACCTCCAGCTTCTTCTTGGGAAGGAGAAAAGCCTGCAAGTCCAATGCCCCAATTTTCTGGGGGTTGCCCAAAGGGAGCGAAGAGGGTCTCCTGCCTTTCATGAGGCATTGATAAGACCTGGCTAATCTAGCCACCAGGGAGACTGTGACAACAGAAATAGAATTTGGGTAGCAGTTCCCATAGCCCCTCCCCTGACTCAGCACAGAGCTAGTGGATGGGGGTGGGGGGGAACAGCTGCCACTTTCTCCACAGGGAGAGAAAGAGCTGGATGGAGCATAGAACAATCCACATTTTCTGAAGGACACCTCAGGAATGGCTTTAGTTCATTTGTTACAGTGCATTGAGGGGATTCAGCATACCTTAGACACTTGGGAGACACAGAAAAAAAAAAAAGAAGAAGAAGAAGTGTGTTGGACTAGCATGAAGGGTTGAGTGGTCACCAGAATCTCTGGCCAGACTGACAGCGGGGTGGGGAGGTGTCTTCTAAAATATTAGACCAGTCCATGAAGAGTGGGCTGTAATTGTTCTGTCTAATGCACAGACACCAAAAGTCACTCAAGGAAGATGAAGAAATAGGTCAATGTGTTCCAAACAAAGGAAAGAAGATTAATCTCCAGAAACAGACCCAAATGAAATATAGCTATAAGATTTACCAGAAAGAAAATTCAAAATAACCATCATAAAAATGCTGCAGTTGAAAGAACAATGGATGACCAAAGTGAGAATATCAACAAAAAGAAAGGAAATATACAATAATAACAAACAGAAATCATAAAGCTGAAGAATAGAACTTTAATAAGAAATTTAATAGAGAAGTTCAACAGAAGACTAGATCAAGCAGACGAAAGGATCAGAGAACTCTAAGAAAGGTCACTGGAAATCATTGAATCACAAGACCAGTAAGAAAAAAATGAAAAAGAATACAGAAAGCTTAAGGAACCTATGGGACACCAAAAAGCAGACCAATATATGTACAGCAGGAAAAGAGAAAGAGTAATGCCCTGAAACCTTATTCAAAAAAATAATGTCTGAAAAATTCCCAAATCTGGGGGAGGAAATGGACATACAGATCCAAGAAGCCCAGAAAAACCTAAAAAAGAGAAATTCAAAGAAATACACACTGAGAAAAATTAGAATCAAACTGTCAAAAGTAAAAGCAGTGAGTGTTTTGAAAGCACAAGGAAAAGGCAACTTGTCATGTACAAAGGAACCTCGTAATACAGGAAGTGGGTTTCTCAGCAGAAACCTTACAAGCCAGAAGGGTGTGGGATGAAGAGCTGAAAGAAAAAAGCTGCCAACTAAGACGAGTATATCCAGTGACGTGTCCCTCAAAAATGAAGGCAAGACAGTCTTTCCTAAACAAACAAAAGCTGAGAGTGTTCATTACCACTAGACTTGCTTACCGGAAACCACATTAGGTTTAAGACCCTACATAGGCTGAAAGCGACAAGATGAAAAAGATACTCCATGCAAACAGTAACCAAAGGAGAAGTCAGAAGGTTAGATCAACCCAAACTGACTTTAAGTCAAAAAAGTGTCAAAAAAGGTAAAAGACGTTATATGATAAAAAGGTAAATTCACCAGAAGACCTAACAATTATAAATAAGACACACTAGTATATTATGTGTAACATCAGAGCATCTAAATAAACAAAGCAAGTATGTGCAGAACTGAATAAAGTAGTAAACAGCAGTACAATAGTAGGGCTTTTCAATACCCACTTCCAGGAATGGATAGAACATGGAGACAAAATCTACGAAGAAACTGAAGACTAGAACAACACTACAGATCAAATGAAGCTAACACGTATATGCAGAACTTTCTGCAAACAGCAGAACACACATTCTTCTTAAGTGTATATGTAACATTCACCAGGACAGATCACGTGTTAGCTCACAAGTCTTAAATTTAAGACTGAAATCAAATCAACTATCTTTTCTGCACAATGGAATGGAACTAAAAATCAACAGGAAAAAAAGGGGGGGGAGGGAAGGAAAGAGGGAGGGAGGGAGGAAAGGAAAGAAGGAAGGAAGGGAGAGAAGAAGGAAAGAAGGAAAAAAAGGAAGGATGGGAGGGAGGGAGGGAAAGAAAAAAAGAAAGAGGA